GATATAATCATTTGTTTTATATATATGGTGCTGCTCAGGCCTGGTGAAATCAGTAGCCGTTTTCACCAATATGGGTGCCAAGTTTTCGCCAAACAAATTTGCTGCCGTTCCGCTGTGCAGTTTTGGTTATAACCCCAGGCAGAGATGTGATACTTGTACACAAGACGGCATATTGCAAAATGTTATACCACAATAATGAGCATGTATTACAAAAACCGCTAACATCTCTATATACCCACACACATTTTGAGCCGTGAGGGCAACGGTAAATGAACCAGCCAATGAAAGGCCTTCTTGTTACATTTGAGTGCACACCCACCCACTCAGACTGGGTTTCGGTATCCAGGTGCTTCTGCCTGAGGGAAGTAAAACCGGGCACAAAATATTTACACTTTTGATTTTAAAGTTGTACCCTTAATAATTTTTGTGTAGTGTTTTTTCTATAATCAGTAATGTAGTATGATATACGTGAATAAGGGATAATTGTGTGTTAATTATGATGTATGATACCCTCAGTTGCATGTGACCTTTTTAAATTAATTAATCAAAGATAAAGTTAGTTGAGCTGTAACAGGCATTGCGGCCTTTCTTCGCGTGGGTACATCCCTTGGTCAAATGCAGATAAGTATTCCCATCCCAGCAACTGAATGTTTTACTCACCAACTAAGACGTATGTCAAAAATCCCACTTTTATGTTGAACAAGATTTATGATTATTATCTCACACCATCCCTTTGTCCTGTCGTAATGCCATATGGTCAAGTGCTGATGATATATTTGTTACTACAGCCGGCCCCAGTTGACCGATGTATGCACCATATAAGAAAATAAAGCCCTTGTTAGGTGCAATTATATTCTTACCACCTTACTCCTGTAGTAAACTTTGTCAGGCATAGGATAGAAACTGGAAACTTCAACTTTAGAGATATTCGATAATGATAAACGAGTAGGAGCATGGGAGGTTAACCTTGGATTCTACCTTATCTTCAGGAGCACATTTATTTTACATATAACCCAAGGAACTCTACAGCTCTTTTCCTTTTCTTGTTTCAAGCGCAAGAAATTACTTAAACTTTTATTTTGTTAATGTCTAACTTGTTATTTCTTTTGATTATCATCTAGAAAATGTTAGAGTTAAGTTTGAAACTTATTCCTACCTAATAGCAACTCTTTTCGGAATCCTTACCATCATAAATGCGACCTCAGATAGACGATTAGTTCTTAGCCAAGCCAGTGATGTCTATGCGCCATTGGTGTCGTGGGTCTCCGCGTTTTTATGTCTTTTCGTGTACATATTTCAAATATTTCCTTTTCTATGTCTCTGACACACGTGTGTTTATCCCCGTCTTTGCTTAGTTTTATCTCACTGTTCGTGTTAGATCTGCAGGTTAGATTCTCGTCACAGTAGCATAGATTCTAGTGGTAGCTTAGTCACAAAATCAGTTCCGAGAGTTTATACAATTATTTTGAAGCGCATGCTGAACGGCGATGTGGAGTCAGTTATCCTGCATTTTGCAGATAACGCATGGATCAAACAATATTCGGTAGGATTGGCAATTTTGATTCGCGCTCCACAGGAAGATGAAAGCAATGCTTCAACATTTGTATTGGTGATATTTCACCAAAGATGAATAAGCATTTGACTAATGGCATTAGTCCGTCCCCTCGTGCAGTTACAGAACAGAACAGCTTGTACGTAAATCACATTACCGTAATCATTAGAAAATGGTGTTGTCTTCTCTTCACTATTACCTTGAAAATATACATCTCAAATATGCCTTCATTCCATTCCCTATTTAAATTCGTACTTTAAGAAATCCGCGTAGCTCGTCCTAGTACATTATTACTAAGTCATTTAAAGTTATTGTCTCGTTTTATAAAGCTACAAACAATGACATTGCCGACACGTTTTGTTTAAGAGTGTAGCATTGCCGCCCCTATTCACAGGTTATTGCTAAAACTCCATTATATAGCGAACAATCGGGCGCTGATTTCTTCAGGATATTACGTCTGATCTGGTAGTACGCGTGAAAAATAGAACACGGACCGACTCAGTGATCCCGACGAGTGTCGTTCAATGTCATTACACCTGGTGGTCGCGCACCACACGGCGAAATTGAATTGATTCTGCCAAAACTACATCGGGTTGTGGAACTGCGTGTACCGTTTTCACGTTCGTGACCGAAAACCCAGTAATTTTGAAACACATCGATGAATCGAGTTCGAAAGTGTGAACCATCTGTTGCATCAGAGACCATATATACTAGTAATAGAGGGACGGGCCCTCTAGCCAGTGCGCAAAACCATCAGCGCTACGGCTTGTACTTAATTGCGCAGCCTATCCGGAAGCTGGCAAAAACGTGTGTTGATCTTCAGTCATCGATTTCAAGCGTATTTTCATTGCAAAGGTAAGATTTGATTTGTTTCATGTATTCTCATGCATATACTTAAATTTGCGCGAAAGGGTCGCATTATATTTGTCTCTTTAGAAATGCTTTGCTTGTCACCGGAGAACAATATATCAATCCCAATTTTGATTTTCAAGGTTATCTGGCTTTGAATTATATTTATTGTGCAATGCGACGAAATGTTAAATTTGTTTAGCTAAGGAGATGCGTCGTTTGTTTGCAGCAGAACATACCTCGAAGTTCGAAGTGACCTAGTTGATCGCCATGTTTCTAAGGAGATATGGGTCGCTTTGTGACCTAATCGCTGTTTTGGTGACGTCACCTCTTTCGAGCCCCTCAATATTGTTGACGTTTTCAACGCAGGTCAGCCAGCGCTGGGATGATCACAAAACTTGAAGCGGTCTTTGAATTCACAGTCATCCAAAATGTTCCCAAAACGAGTATAAGCCTTTAAATTTCCGCTATAATGATTAATGTAGCATATATGCATAATATAGCACAGTGACTCAATCCATGAATATGATTTCACTGTTAGTTCTGGCAAATTGTCGTCTCACTGCCGTAAGCGTACATGTATTGCTATGACACGATGAGTTATGGGAACTAGGCATTAAATATTAAAACTTATGTACAGTTGTCACTTCAGTCAACAAACAGGCCTCTATTCCTCGGAATCTTCCCGAATGACACGGACACCAGAATTCAGCTGTTGATCTCACAACGCGCACCTGCGTACAGTATTTGAGATGTACCCAGTGATCACAACCTCGGTACGTACACTGAGCCCACTTTGTGAATACAAGGAGACATTAATTTTGCAGTTCTTCGGTAGAAACAATTTGCAAACACAACACACTTCGTCATCAATGTCCCTTCATTGTCCGTGTCTGTTGTACCGCTGTCACTTGCGACAACCTCTCGTACATGAGACAATCGGACGTGCTTGGTTTGGCAGAGAGAGTTGAATGAACTTGTGATACTTTTCTTCCGTGCAGACTGTTGCTTCCTCTTGACTGGGTGTTTCTGAGTGTGGACTTGAATTTGAAGACTCTATTTTCTTCTGTGCGGCTTTTTACTTCACTGACGATAGAGCTGAGGACTTTCCGCTTCAGTGCTGGTGCAGACTTGGATTTTAAACGTGAGTCGTTGGCATGCGCGGTTTCTCGGATATAATAAAAACTGTAGAAGGTCCCGGCGCTTCCTGCAGACACATGACAGAATCGTCAAATGGAAATATTCCATTTCTCAAAACGAGGACATCAAGTTTCTTGGAGAAAGAGCCGACGTGTATGCTTTATAGGGCTTCAACGAGTCCATTTTCTTGAATCGAGTAATCCAGGGTGAGACTCGACTCGACCCGTGTACTTCAGAAATTCATACTATTTCAAACAAACGATAGCGTAACCGGCATGACATGTAAGTTCCGAATCACACAGAGTGAACACTCTACTTCATTCCGGACTTCATATCGTCGTGTGACTAACATTTCCCTATTGGTCAGAATCCCGTATTTGGATGTTTACTTGCCAAAATGCCTTTTGGTTCTTCATCGTATTGGTTGTACTGCCTGCATAACGCAGTGATATACCGCAATAGGCGGCATTTGGTTATTTTCTGTTTTGACTATCCAGATCAAGGCACGCCCATACATTTGATTTTTTTTATCATTCTCCTAATCGTTACCTAATCATTTTAAGAAGTGAAATCTCAAACGATGTATAATAATAATTACTCTCATCTGCAGACTTGTAACAACTAATACCATACAGCCACACCGTGTGAGGGAGTAAACCATCTAATCTAGGGCCTTAATAAAACATTATCAGATGGGTTAAAGAATTCAGGGTACATAGAACTCAGTATGTCAGTGTCAATGGCTATCAATCTTCTTTCCTCTCAACCTCTACTGGAGCTCTACGGGACTGTGTTTCTTTCATCTGTACTCTTCTGTTTTGTATACCAAATGACTGTTTACTGTGAAATTCGCAGATGACGCCACTGTTACTGGCCTAATTTCTGATTCTGAACATTATTATCGTCAAGGCATTGACAAAACCGTAATGACAGTTTTTTATCAAACCTTTATTCAAAGTGTGTTGACCTACAATTTTCTATGTTGGTATGGGGCCTGTCTGATCGCAACAAAAACAACCTTTTCAAAATTGTAAATACTGCCGACAAAATTTCGAGTATATTCCCTTTAACTATGAGCGCCAGATTGTCAAAAAGGCAACTAAAATTAGATTTGATAGTTAACATATTTGATCTCACCATTTTGAAGTACTTCTTTCTGACGCTGCTGTCGATTACCTTCCCTTAAAACAAACAGAGCTTCGATAGTCTTTTCATACCACATCAAGTATTCGTGGGAATGCAACAAATATTTTGAATTATCACCATGTGATAACAACTAGAATTATTCAGCCTCTTTACCTATGTGGGTTAATTGAATTACATCAATGTCAGTTTTATTGTGTAAAATAGCTTCTCGTTTTGTGCATGTAATTATTGTGTATATTTTGTGAATTGTGTACATATTCATTTTGAGACAGTTTGGATGTATAAGAATTTCCTCGGGGATAATAAAGTTATATCTATCTTAATATTAGACGTTAACGGCCGCTCATTCCTAGTACATGGCAGACAGTCTGTCAACGTAACCCAATAATTCGAGTTATCTCCCTTTTCGAGTCCCTCGAGTCCTAGAAAATAGACTCGAGTCCCAAGCTAAACCTAACTCCGTCCTCGAGTACTCGAGTACCCGTGAAGCCCTCTAATGCTTTACAAGCAACAGCACATACAGCGTCCCTATCTATGTTGGTGGTGACTCTGTTCTCTCATACACTATACCTCTAGTGCTTCATGGAATTGTAGATCCTTTCTAAGTGGGCCTGAAACAACCAACGTCAAGTGGTTGTAAAACATGAGAAGTGTGAGTTGTCAGTACCCATCAAGACAATGTTCCGAGATATGGCCCAGTCAATGATGGGGAGAGAAACATGAGAGTGGTACCCGTCTGTGGAGAAGGAGAATCGGCTGTGACGGATCTGACCTCTGAGCATATTTCAGGAAGTGGATCATTCAAATAAGTTGAAAAATATTTCCATATTTGACCACCCTGAATCACTAGTTGTGGCATTTGTACCTGGGGTACATTCAGATAGAACATCCGAACGCAGACGCTTCAGTCCCTTAAATACAAGTAAGGAGGGGATTTGTTGTCCGAGAGACGTTCCTAGAAACCAATTAAAGTTGTTGATGATCTTGGTGTAGTAACCGCGACACACATCGATATTCAGAAGAAGATACCACTTTAGGAGGAGTATGGTTCCTCAAGAATTAACCATTTTCGTCAACATTATAGATGAATTGCGGCTTGTCAAATAAATCGTACTTCTCTAGCGCGGCCCGAAGTCCGACGAAATATTTGGAAACTGCTTCCCGGTGACGTCGCCTTGCTCTGAAAAAACTTCGAGAGGTCGTGGCTTGTCCAGCTTGAGAGAAGGCCATCGCTTCATAAATCAATAATACCAATGGAGAGAAAAGGGATCATCTTTATTTCGTTTTCCCAGTTGAACAGCATACTGAGATGCCAGTGTAGTGACCTCCACCCTGGTGTATCCGTACCCAACACTACTCATGAACTTTAGATGTTCAACAAGTCTAGACTCCTCTTCTAAAATAAGAATTGGTTCAGTCCCTGACTTAAGAGTTTCTGGATGGATCCTACCCCTAGCACGATCTCTGAGAGTCGTCTCAGGTACAGAAAACTTCCATATTTCCATATTTGACCACCCTGAATCACTAGTTGTGGCATTTGTACCTGGGGTACATTCAGATAGAATATACGATGTTCAACAAGTCTAGACTCCTCTTCTAAACTAAGAATTGGTTCAGTCCCTGACTTAAGTGTTTCTGGATGGATCCTACCCCTAGCACGATCTCTGAGAGTCGTCTCAGGTACAGAAAACTTCCTAGCTGCAGTTTTGACAGGCATATTGTCTTCCACAACGGCTAAATATGCCCTGGTCATAGCCTCTGGGTCATTAACCCTATACGACAAGGGTTTTGAATTCTGCAATACACCGAAAAATTGGTTACACCACTTATAAGACAGCCCTTACTAGCGATCGCGATGCAAGTTAAAAATAGCAAGCCACATGATTTAAGTCATGTGATCCTGGCCGGAAGTTTACATTCTGCAGACGGCATAACTTCGAAGTGATGTCAAATGTTTCTTTCAAAGTGCAAGAAATGCAGCTTTAAACTTTAAAAAAATATGCAGTATGCAAAATAGTGACTTTTGTCCTGGGTTTACGTTTTTTATCTAACTTACCACCTGCAGCTTCCACACGCCACATGATTACGTCCAAGACAACCTGACAACTTGTAACCTGGTGTTCCGTTTCTAGAAGTGGCTACCTGATGACGTCATCAAATAAATCCACACGTGTATGTTAGCGGCTCGAAATGAGGTGACGCCTCGAAAGAGGTAACGGGGATACTGAACATTTCCAATTATCATGTAGCAGACGACATAACATTCATTTTGTCTCGTTAATATAACGCGAATATATATTTAAATCATTCTACAAAAAGTCCTCATTCACCTAATTGTTTGAAAAAAAGTACATATTTCATTTATTGTTTATTTTGATGATTATATTTGTGGAAAAGGTCCTATTTATCATGTAACAATCTATATATTTTTCTTGTTATCATTATTCTTCCTACTGAAGTTATGGGATTATATTTGCTATATATTATTATATTATTATACAGAAAACCAGCAGCCTGACATTACTATTGTGCAGTTTTATGACAAATGAGGCTCAGTCCAGCTTTCAGTAGACATCACTGACTGACTGAGTTTGGTTTTACGCCGCTTTTGTAGCAATATTCCAGCAACATCACGGCGGGGACACACCAGAAATGGGCTTCACACATTGTACCCATGTGGGATCTGAACCCGGGTCTTCGAGTGACGAGCCAACACTTTAACCACTAGGCTACCCCCACCGCCCCCAGTAGACATCAAGCCATCCTTTACAGCAGCAATATATGCACATCGACGTGACTTTGGCCCAAATCATGAATTCTGATTGGTTTACCTGCATTTTCTCCACTCTAAGAGATATGAAGAAATTTTTATCAGAACTGTCTACATACCATGTTTGCGTCGGCAATTATGAAGACAGATTTGTAGACTTGATTCCAGTTGGTGCAGGCATAAGTGAAGGAAACTATTTCAACAATATCTGCCTAATAATTTAACATGTAATAAAGTACATGAGTACAAATTATGGAAATTAAAATCCAATGTACAGTCTCACTTCATGGATATCTAAAATATCTGTTAATGAAGTTATATTAAGATTGTGTACAGATTTGTATGATTTTATGGTTTTACATTCACAATAAGTCCTAAATGGACAACATAACTATGCAGGTTGTGCTTGCAAGAATTTTATAAGTTATCATCTTCCCTTATTTTATCATGACTACAATTAATATGTTTTTCTGTTGTCATTATTCTTCCTAATGAAGTTTGGTTATGAGTTTACCTGGGCTTGTGACAGTACCAACGGCCTCCCTGTCTTATGCAACAACAAAATGAAAAAATGAACTCATTATTCAACATTATATTTATATAATAAAATTATCATTTGTTTTGTAGTAGATGCCCAGGAAAAAGAAAGTTTTCATCGGCACTCATCGGAAGGGCTACTCAAAGAGCCTACTATTAAGTACAGTATTCCCATCTTGATTAAGTAGATATACCTTGTTTGAAAGAGCATTGGCAACCAACTATTGCATAATTTTAATTTTGAATTCAGTTTAGAGTTTATTTGCAACAGTTGAAATTCACATTTACTGTGTTTTTGATGAAAGAAAATCTAAATGGTTGAATTTAGTAATATATGATTGTACATATAGATCTATGAAAATCTATAGATTTATTGATCCTATTCTACAATAAATACACTGTACATATAAGAACGTGTGATGTTGTGTTTTAATGTTATTGGTTGCATTTTCCTGCCAAGTTAACGTTGACACTTTGCTGGAATTTTTTAATTGATAGGGTAATGTAGTACAGCCCATTTAACACGTATATTTCATGGGCTCGGAGCAATCGATTAAAAGTTTATGTAAACATAATCATGGATGATTGGCCTATCGAGCAACACTCATGACACCTACCAATTCTTTATTGTTATTTCTGCAAGTCGATTGAAAACTAATTTTGACTCTCTACTAAACGATTTTGACACAAATGGATGACTATGTCCCCACACAACAGGGTGTGGTCGAAGCAAGTCCTCTGATTGGCCAACGCTTGCAAATCTGCACATTCTTTATAACTTCGCAGGAATTTTCACTTTCATCGACTGCTTGACCACATCCTCGTATTTTGCCAACGAATGCTTGCAAGTAAATATTGAGATTAACAATGTGATGATACGTTTAGCGAGAATCGGGGATATTGGCAACTGTAATGTTAAAACTGCCTTTACCTGACTGGGATAGTTTGATTTTTGTATTTTTGGTTTATATTCTCTGTCCTGTCGTAGTCTGTAAATTCTCCAAGTAAGTATCGAGGTCCAAGTCGGAATCATCCCAGTGAATGAATTAAGTCGTCCATGGCCATGCCGAATGTTGAAACAAATATTCCAGGCTTATGACGACACGCACTTCGCGAATGATACATGTTCTACGATGTTGTCAGTTGACATGCAAATGAGAGATAAGATAAAAATAAGATTATTGTAATCAGTTTATTGGAGCTGTCCATGTAATGATTAACTGTCAAACGCAGCCGGTGAAATCCCGCTAAGGGAATAAATCTCGGCCCGGATATTATGCAATATTGTTTACGTGGTTACCAGAGTGCTCATTTGCGAATGTCTGCGCATCTGTTGCACATGTGTACCGGTAGAGGGAAGTTAGCAGCAGGGTGTCGATGTGTATCAGTTACATGCCAGGCCATAGCGCTGATGGTTAGTGATAAACTGTTGGGGAGGGCCGTCCCTCTATTATATGGTCTCTGGTTGCATCCACCACCGTCAAGAAATTACCTGATCTCGTTCCGTACCATGAACTGTGCATTCATCTCGATCAGCTGAGCACAACCGACAACGTTCAGGCGAACGACCTTCGACACTGCTGAGAGCCGTGCCGGTGAAAACGGAAAAGTACAACAACGTCGTTTTTGTCGTGGCAGTACAAGAAATTAAGGCAAGGCACCATCACGGAATAAAAAATATCGGTTTCAGACATTAAACATAATCCAGTCAATATAGGATACCTGAGTGTGACACTGCACCTACACAAAAGACAATGACCGAAGCTTCGGGTCCGGGAACATCCATGCGACTGGGAAAATGTCATACCATCGCGCTCTCCGACCTCGACGAGCCCGGAATCGAGGGCAACCTGTACGCATTGCAACTGAAAAACAACATTTACAAACGCATCGAAGTGCCCGGCGCCAAAGGCAGCAGTGGATCCGGCAACCGCATCAGCTCCCTAAGTGATTTCATCGACACCGAAGGAGCGGGCAACAACGAGCGGTAATGACCTCGTCCCACAACGAAGAACACGAGTGGACGATATCCAGGGCCTTCGACGGCAAGCTGTTCGATCTGAACGATGTTGAGACCACGGTCGTCACTCAAAAGCGCCTTACACTTTCATGCCTCACCGACGACAAAAAATGGGTCCTCGTGCTCTCTCGAATTGACTGGATCATCAACATCACGCTCGGCTCTCCCCTCGAGGGAATAATGCTCTTGGCTTACGTCCCACACCAAGACGCAATCGCGGATCCCCAGCCCGCTCTCGCAAAAATAAATTAGCACACGCCGCCATCGGGAAACCCGACGCAAAGCCGCAAAGTTTGCATATGGTGACGGATTCGACGAATTGATCGACATCATGGAAAATCTACCGCCAATTCCACGCTGATCATCCAAGTCTTCCGCGGCTTAACCACCATCGCATCATCGCTACGGTTGAAATCGTAGCACGGATCAAACTCTGGTGGTCTAAGAAACAACAACACCACGTTTGCTCCGTTTATTGTGGTGAACGTGAATGAACGTACACCAGCCTCTGTAGGAGTCACCGTCACCGTGAAGAATTACGATATCGCTCGCCAAAAGTTTCCTACCCGATACAACATACATTTCATGGGGCTTGAAGTGCACGTCCGAGAAATTATCCGAAAACCAATTGAAAATTATTTCCTAACATATGGATACAGTCATGAGTGCAAATTTGACTCCATAAGCCACCATCGCATTCTCCGATCTCGGGACACGCGAGAATTCGACCAACCCAGTACACGGAAAACGCCTTGTACGTGTTACACTTTACAAAACAACGTGTACGACGAGAAGTCTTCGAATCTCAGTTGAACTGGATTATTAACCTGGTCCTCCACCCTACCCCTATCTTATCACAGATGTGATCTTAATGTCCTCGAACTAAAACAAAGGGTTCTACTCACTGACAGGTTTATTCCATTCGAGGAAAATGCATTTTACGCCTACACCACTGCCAGAATAAAGGGTTAAGCATGCTGGTCGCATGTCAGGAATTAGGAAAACCATGGATGTATCTGAAAACTTTCTCAACACCAGGCCTGTGGGTACGTACAAATACAAGGTTCTACCCCTTTATTATCGAAGTTTTTCTCTTTAGAGATGCCCCTGCACAAAAAAGTGCAACTTCTGGATGCGTTATACATACGCTGGTATAAAATACCATGAAAATCAACACTGTCGTATTTACGTACAACCAGGAACAATAGTCCCCACCACAAACCTCGATAGAGTCAAGGTTATTCAGGATGGACACACCTCATTACATTCGAAGCCATTTTTTTATCCGAACATTTCCATGTTATTAGCTTAAAGTATATTCACCAACGATTGACTGAGGACCAATTAAATAGTATTTTGTAAGTCAGTATATACACGCACAGAAAATGGGACTGTGGATGAAAGTGGCAAAACGCTGGAAACCGTAGACGGGTTCCATTTGCAACAGATATGCGACATCAAATGACAACTAGAACAATATCGTGATGTGCGAAGAGCATTGCATAAAAAATATCACAGAGCCGTCAATTACGTGGACGGCGTCGACACCGCCCTGGTGGCAACAGGCATGGGATTAGGCGCAGCGTGGGTCGGGTTGCTATCCACCATAGTGGCCGCGGCCCTGGTGTTGGGCATCGAAATAACGGCAGGAGTGGTAGGGTTAGCGGGATTGGCGCTTAAGTATGTATCTCGCAGACTGCAACGTAAAGCGTTGAAACACGACGAAATTAGAGTTCTAGCCGAATCGAAGCTCAACACGATACAAGATCACATTTCCACCGCGCTCACCGACTGTAAAATATCTGAGGAAGAGTTTAGGTTGGTGCTGTCAGAACTCGCCAAATACCACAGAATGAAACAAGAGATTCGAAATAAGTCTCGTAAAATCTCCGAATTCAGCAAAGACGAGGAAAAAAAGTTAGTGGAACAAGGGAGGCAACAGGCCCGAGAAGCCTTCCTCACGAAAACCAAACAAATTATTATCGGAGAATATTCACCATAAACTGTTTTGCAGACATCAACATAATGTAGCCAGCCAGCCAGCCAGGTCCATCACCTTCACACCATGAGGACCACTGATAGTGTTGAGCGAGTGAGAGCTGTATACATAGCTTGCTCTAAAAGTCAGTATCTCCTTTCTGACATGCACATCAAACAGTAGTATTATAGTAATAGCGGTACGGATTAGGCCCGTCTCAAGGGCTCAGATTTTTTATTTTGAGCTCTTGGGGGACCTGGTCCCGTACCATCACTGTATATACTACATCTATATTATTAGAAGACCTTTGGGCAACATATCATATGTATTATCAGTAGACCTTTGGGCAACACATCTT